CTAGAAAGGCCTCAGCACCAATCCGTCTTCCTGATGAGGGCATTTCCCTCTGAACCTCGGCGACAATTTTATAGTCGTAAAAGCATGTTAATCCCGTTAGGAAAAGATGTCATTTGGGCTTTTTTTTTTCTTTTTTTTTTCAGCCGGCATATGAAAGCAATTATGACTATAAACAATGGGCTAAGACTTAAATGAGTCATATCTTAGGGTATTTCTGAGATCTCGTTCAACGAGGGTAGACGTGTCGTAGAAAGAGCCCGAGATACCACTGGGGCTGAAAACTCAAAATTCAATATCCATGTTTATAGAAATAAACTGAAATCCTAATATTTCTGCTTTTTAGTGAACAAATCACCTCGATTTACTTTCAAGTCACATCGTAACATAAAATCCAGGAGAGAGAGAGAGAGAAAGAAAAACCCTCATTTTTACAGCATCGTGGGCCAATTTTCTGGCTTGGAACTCGAAGGTGAATTCAAGTTGCTTTTAAGTCTTAGAAGAGCATCATCCAGGGATGGAGAAAAGAGGCTGGAAAGCATTTTGTACACATTTTCTGGCTCAGAAATGTAAGGAATAGAATAAGGAATATATGTGAGTGTACATAGGTTTGGGGGGGGGGAGAGAAGGGAAAAAGAGAGAAACTTGATTATAAATGTGAATTGAGAGGATGTGTATATGAGCCCGTTGTACACGTCTCGAAACTTCTATCCATTTGATTTTTTTTTAATGAAAAGATTTAAAAATTCTCCGAAGAAAATCGGGGAGCCCACCCATCTCTGGTCTTTCCACGAGGGCACACCTGGGTCGGGAGAGCGCATAAGGGAAGACTCCCCTTCAAACCCCAGCCTCTGAACTTCCATCATGAAGCAAAATGATGGAAGGAGCCCTCCCCACCCGTCTCCCACACGGACACTGCCCGCCCCCACTGCCCAACCGACTGGCTTCAAATCAGGAGAACCAACCCGCCGTTGGCAGCGTCGCACCTTCTGGATAAAACATCCATTTTCCGGACAATCGTTATCCCGGTGAGAATGCTGTGCCTGAAGAAGGCATGGAGGCAAACGCACAGAGTGGACCTCGACTCTGGGCCGACATGTTCTTTGCAAATATTTTTAGTTACTAAATGTTATTTCTTTTCCTATACACATTTCCACAGACTCTAGTTTGGCCCATGTCCATATTTTTTTAAATATATTTTTATTGATTTCAGAGAGAGGGGGAGTGGGAGAGGAAGAGGGAGAGGGAGAGGGAGGGAGAGAAAGAGAGAGAGAGAGAGAGAGAAACATCCATGATGAGAGAGATTCATTTTCCCCCCGTAAGTGCTCACCTGAGGATGCATAAGCAGATCCTGCCGCCAGAGGTGAGCCTGCAGAAGCCAAATCTCTGCTTGCTTTCGATGTCCGTCAGCACGAAGGCGAAGTGCTGCCCCACTTGATTCTGAGACACCCTGGAACACAGGACAGCCCGCAGCTCAGCCTTGGGCAAGAACAGCCACACAGAAAAGCAAGGGCAAGAGCACTGGTGTGTGTGGCATCGGCTTCTCCTGTCCAGTGAGTTGGTTCTTCGAGCCAGAACCACGTGCCAGGAACAAAATGAGTGTCAGACGCGTGAGCTTGAACTAAGTCATGCGCCAAATATCCAAGTCGGCGGTGACACCTTCCACGCCAAGCAACCCTGCACGTGCTAATCCCTTCCCAGGGAGGCATCAGGACACGTGTACGTGGGCAGCTTTTAATAATGTTCACACCTGGAGAAACGCCCAAGGCTCACGGCACCCCTCCTAGCTCCTCTTCCTCCATCGTGTCCTCGCGATTCGTGTGAAAACTGTGCCGTTGGCAGGTACATTAGTTCCCCCGAAAGCAGGTAACGCGAGGCTGTCACCAGCATCGATTACTAGCATCCCTTAGCCCATCTCTCCGAATCCTGTCTTCAGTATTGTAAAAGGCCCGGCCGGTGTGGCTCAGGGGTTGAGCATCAACCTAGGAACCAGGAGGTCAGGTTTGATTCCCGGTCAGGGCACAGGCCCGGGTCGTGGGCTCCATCCCCAGTGGGGGGCTTGCAGGAGGCAGCCGATCCATGACTCTCTCTCATCATGGATGTTTCTCTCTCTCTCT